GAACTCAAGATTATCAAGTCAGAGTACTCATACAATCATCCAATCAAACAAACATAGCTAGGGTTCCTGAAAACCTAAGTGAAGGGAAGTTACTCCATAGAGAAGAAAGAGACTGCAGTAAGAATCTTCAGATGATCAGTCTTTAAGTCCAGGCTTGTTCCTCGAGCTTCCAAAGCGAAGAAATCCTCCAATTCCACTCTTAGAATGCCCTCAGATCGCCCTCTCTCTCTTTGGTTCGTCCCTTGGGTGTTTGGGATCCAAAACCCAGCTCTCTCCTTTCCTTTGGCTGAAAATTGGGTTTTAAACAGCAATTCCCGACTCACACGGGCAGGCCGCACGGCCGTGCAGCTCACCCAGTTGCCCGTGTGATTCAAAACGCAGCGTATCGATTAGTTGAATTCCAGGCTTCTTATACGGCCAGGGTCGCACGGCCGTGCAGCTCACCTTGCACGGCCGTGTGGATTTTCTGCTATGCCCGTGTGGCTTTCTCAGCCTCTGTTTAATGCTTCGTTTCTCCCTCGTCCGGACTCCGAATCAGTCGCTGTTTGATCCCAGACGCTTGTAGTCTCGTCCTCTTTCGTTTCATAACAAGCTTGCATGATTCTTTGTCCATAAAGTGAGGTAGAAATCCATTCCTCTTCAGGTCATGCCCGAGTTTCTTCTCTCGAATCGTCAATTGATCTCTGATTGACTTGAAACTTGCGCCTATGCTTCACTTTATGTGCTAGGACCTGAAATGGGACAAAGGAACACAACCTAGCATAAAATAGGGCAAAGACGCAATAATTCAAGCTCAAACAATCAAGAAACAAAGGGGAAAACATGTGCAAATACCGAGTCATCACTCCTGTTGTGTGGCCTTGGCAAAAAAGATACTATCGTCAGCGAAAAAAAGATGGGTAATCACCGAGGCTCCCCTTACCACCTCAAGCCCATGCAACCGGTTCTCCTTTAAAGCTTTGGTTGTATAGGCTGATAATCTCTCCTCACAAAGCAGGAAGAGATATGGTGACAAAGGATCGCTCTGTTGAAGTCCTCTGCTGGGGGCAAAAGAATCAGAACGGTGGCCATTAATAAGCACTGAGTACGACACAGTGGTCACTCCCAGCATCACCATCTTAATCCATTGCTCCGAGAACCCCATGCGCCTCATCACCCCCTCTAAAAATCGCCATTCCACCCGGTCGTAGGCCTTCGCCATATCAATCTTAGCATCAAAGTATCCATGTTTGCGTTTTTTGCTCTTCTTCATCGTGTGAAAACATTCAAACGCTGCCATCACATTGTCTGTGATCAACCGCCCAGGCACAAAAGCACTTTGTTCAGGAGAAATGATCTTATTTAGGAGAGGTTTTAGCCGATTCGCCAGCACCTTGGATAAGATCTTGTAGAGGATGTTACAGAGGCTAATCGGTCGGAACTCCTTTTGGGAGGTTGGTTGCTTCGTCTTCGGTATTAGGGCAATGAGGGTATGATTGAGGCCGTCTGGCATCACTCCAGACTCCAAAATCTGCACGACCGTTGCAGTCACCTCATCACCGACCAAATGCCAATACCTGCGGAAAAAGAAGACAGAGAGACCGTAAGCTCCAGGGGCTTTTCGCTGTCCCATCTGTTTTAATGCTGCAGAGACTTCGTCCTTAGTGAACGGTCGTAAAAGATGGGTATTGTCTTCCTGATCTAGCCGAGCAGGGATGGAGTCGAGCACTGGCCAGTCCTCCGGAGCTACACATGCGGTAAACAACTGCTTATAGTACCTGACCATGCAAGTAGACACCTCCTGCTGGCCCACATACCACCGGCCTGTTTCATCTCGGATACGTCTGATTGTGTTTCTCTTTCGTCGAGCCGACGCTTTTCGATGGAAAAAGTTTGTATTTATCTCCCCCTTTTAGCCAGTCAGCCCGGGATCTCTGTTTCCAATGTTGTTCCTCGTTCTCCAACCGTTCCGCCATTTCATTCTCTAGTTGCCTGCATTGTTGGAGGTTTTCCTCTGTCTTCGGCCTCCTCTCTAATGCCCGCAACGCCCTGTTAATTTTCTCTTTGTGCTTTGCAAATATAGGAAAAGTAGCCCGGCTCCAGTCCTCCAGTCTTTGGCGGCATAGGTCCAATTAGTGAAGTATATTAGAGTGACTCCCATACTGCCACGCGTCACCAACAATTTTTCCACATTCTTCGTGTTTGGCCCAATATGGCTCAAAGCGGAAAGAATTCCCCCACCGAACCTCCTCGTCTTCAGCTCCTCGCGTATCACACAAGATCAGTCTATGATCCGAGCTAGCTCGATCCCAATGTTTGACCTTAAGTGGGGAGTATATGATCCTTCTAAGTTAATTTTAGAGATTGGGAGCTTAGTCAAAGTCCAGTCAGCAAGTTGAGACCCGCTTCTGTGACAATCTAACAAAAAGTTGATGGTAGAAATTTGATTAATTTTTTTGTATAGATCGAGTATCATTGTAGAAGAATTGATAGTTCATGAATATTATATATGATTTTATAAGTTGTTCGACTAAAAAAATTAACTTCCACAACATGTCAAACTGGGTATCATTTTATATAGTATAATTAAATTAAAATTTTAGCTAAAATTTTATAATTTAAATTAGAACAAATGAAATATGATTAAGTAAAGACTAATAAGGGAGTGGGTACGAACGTTGAATTATACACCTAACATGTTAATAAACTAACCATAATATAAATTACCTATATGGATACAACAAATATAGCGGCTAATAGTAATTTTAATGTATGTATATACGTAAAACTTATCTTACGTCTATGTAGTTTGCTATTTAGACAAAGAATTAATTGGATTTTGGTGCATGATATTATACCCTAATTTCTAATGGGTAAACCCCCATCCACTATTTTATAACTCAAACCATAAGATCCAATTGATATAAAAATAATAACTGATGGTTCTAAATCACCGAAATATATTGAAGTGCATCTAATAAGTGTGAAGGCATGCATATATCATTTTTTAGATTAACACTTGTGTCTATACATTTCCAAACAAATTTTGTTATATTATAAAGTTATGGTACATGTTTAGTTTGTACCTATATATTTTAATACAAATTCATTTATAATACAAAATGAATGTATACCTTTATGTTATGGTACAATTTGTACTTATACATTTTCGTACAAATTATTTTATAATATAAACTGAATTTATATAACGTTATGTTACCAAGTTGTATATGCAAACTCCAACATTTTGAAATATAGCAAATGATCTCATATATATAACATATACTTTTTTTATAATAGACGACATACCATATCAATAAAAAAGGGTGGTTTTTTTTTGTTTTGTGTAAGGGGTGGTATTTTATATTTGGAGTCTCTATTTTTTAATTAATAAGTTGATTATTTTAAGCAAACCAAATGACCAAAGAGTCCCCCCCTAACTATGCGCGTAAGCTAGTAAAAAATCAAATGGGTGGGTTCCTCACGAGGAACCTCTATATATTGTTTGGAGGATGAATATTTATGAAACTGACATAGTAGTCCGGTAAATATGCTAATGGGTGGTTCTATCAAATCCAAACTCAATTTAATGGGTTTATCCACAACAAAAATCCGAATCCAACCCATTTGGTACGTGCGAATTCATGGATTTTCATAGGTTCATGGACAAAAATGCAAAAACACCAATTTTCCACTACAATTGTCTAGTTTTCCACTACAATTGTCTAGTACATACAAACAAACTCACAAATTATCCTTGCTAATTGTTCAATACAAAGATAAACACACCAAGTTTAAGGAATTTAGGGTTAAGTGTTGAGGGAGCTTGGGTGTGGGTACAGGTATTCATTGATCAAGTATGGCTAAACCTGAACCCAACCCGCAAAATAGCAAAACATTTTTCAACTTGAAATCGGTCCACAATATGTCAATACGGGTTTTACCCTCTTTGTCTAGAATGAGTCGAATAGGATACCTACATATTCGAATTGTTGCCACCGTAATCCATATGTGTGCTCCTAGTGTATCGATTCTCCAAGTTTTGTACTTATAAGACGATCCATATATCTCTATATTAATGCCCTATGATACTATATGAACTATAGTTAGCCCATTTCTCCGCTTAAGCACTATCGTGTCCGTATGTTTATTTGTATTCTCCAACCTCCTTATTTCATTTAATTAGTTAATCATATCTAGGGCTGTTAATGAACCAAACTATTCGCCAACGACTTGGTCTCAAACTCGATAAAAGCTTGTTTGATTCAATAAAAGTTCGATTCGTTTATTAACGAGCTGAACTTGAACTCACCCTTGTTCGGCTCGTGAGGCTCATGAACTAGCTCGATTAGGTGGCTTGTTGAGTTCGAGTCATGAACTATCTCATTTTGAGTTCATGGGATGTCTCAACATTATAACTAACGAGTCGATTTGATTATGACTAATGAGAAAATCGATCTATATCTTATGAGTTGGTTTGTTAATGATGCATATATTTATTAAATTGTATATCACACCTCAAGTGATGTTTAATAATTTGAAAATGCGAGCAAATATGTCTTGTATATGACATGATGATCATTTAATCACATGTATCATACAGGACATATATATTAGGGTATTTAATCAATAAATTATCTCAAAGTTGAATTCGAGCCAAAATTTTGATTTTAATGATGAGACAAGATTCAATAAATGAGTTGGCTTATGTTCGGCTCAACTCAACTCATTCGTAAACTAGTCGAACTCGAGTTCGGCTCGTTAATAAATGAACCAAATCTAAACAAGGCAAACGTCGATTCAGCTCGACTCATTAACAGCTCTAATCATGTCAGCAAATCTCAAACGTGGCAAACCACAAAACTTAAAATAAGAACTTGTAATTAATTTTCGAGAATTTCCTATTTAGAAAATTGTTTACTTATTATGTAAAAAAAAAACACCCAACAGCAAGGACGTTCATAAAAAATATTAATAAGAAAAAGATATTGAAGGAAGAAAAGCGGAGGCCAAGACAACAATGCCCTCTTCTCTCTCTCTCTCTCTCTCTTAAATTATCGCTTGTACTGAGAGGAAAGTTCGTAGTTTAATTCCACCAAATATCCCTTTCTCTCTTCATCTCTCTTCCCCACGCTCCGCCGTCGGTCCTCTCGATCGGCACCGTTACTCGTCGTGTCGCTCCCCGGTTGTTGCCTCCAAGAAAAATGAACGGGAAGGATTTCCGATTGGCTTTAGTGGGTCAGGATTTCGTTTGATTTTTTGATCCCTTTTTTCCGCGAGAGATTCCGTCGGTTTCTTCTTTCGCGCGAGCGGAAAAAAGCTCAGAGCTTGCTTTAGGGTTGCTGGGGGTGGGAAATCATCATGGAGCCTCGCGTTGGTAACAGGTTTCGTCTCGGTCGGAAGATCGGCAGCGGATCGTTTGGAGAGATCTATCTCGGTTCGTTGCTTCTTCTCCATCCCTTTCATTTGCATTTTCTTTCTTCAATTTTCTTTTTTTTCGAATTTGTCTTATTGACGGTCCTTTGCAGGTACTAATGTTCAAACAAACGAGGAGGTTGGAATTAAGCTCGTAAGTTCTCTCTATTTCATTCTTTATGAACACCCAATTCGAATTTCGTTTCTTGTCTGTGTTTTGCATTTTCAATGCAATTTTACCTGAGATTCGGTCTCTGCTTTTCAATAAATTATGTCCTTCATTAGAATGGAATTCGAGGGAACTGAGAGTGTGCATTCTCTGGCATTCCAAAATGGTGATTCTGTCTTTCGGATGTGGTTGTTTAAAATGTGTTTCCTTTTCGAGTAATTTGGTCGGTTCTACGTAAATGCGGTGTCTACAAGACATTTCTTTATGGCTTCATGTACTGGGTTCAAATTCAATCCAATTTGGGTTTCTGTGTAGAGTTGTGTAGTGAATGCTGAAGTGTCTGCATGCTGAAGTGTGATTGATCCTTGTATGGTTGAAGGTGATGGTGTCGGAATGGGGAGGACTTGATTTCAGTCTGATTTCGTTTGGAGTTTCTTCATAGATGTACTATCTCCTTGCATTGATAAATTTCCGGTATGTTTCTCTCTATGATCCAGGAAAATGTGAAGACAAAGCATCCTCAGCTGCTGTATGAATCAAAGTTGTACAAAATACTTCAAGGAGGAAGTAAGTAATGACTTCTCCTTACTATTTTGGTATCTATTTATGTCATCATGCTGAGGATTGCAGTTTATATATGGGAAGAGACTCATATGTTAGCTGCTTTCAAATTTTGCAGCTGGAATTCCAAATGTCAAATGGTTTGGAGTGGAAGGAGAGTACAATGTTCTTGTGATGGATTTGCTGGGACCCAGTCTTGAAGATCTATTCAACTTCTGCAGTAGGAAACTGTCTCTCAAGACTGTTCTCATGCTCGCGGACCAAATGGTAAGCATCGTGTGTGATATGCTGTTGGTATCTTCTTTGGTTGGTCGCCCATATATATTTTATTGACAAATGGAAGTTCTGCTTTCTCGCAGATTAATCGAGTTGAATTTGTCCACTCCAAATCGTTCCTACATCGAGATCTCAAACCTGACAACTTTCTCATGGGTTTAGGGAGGCGTGCCAATCAGGTATGTCCTTGGAGACCTGTCCCTATTAGACATGGATATGATTGTTTCTTATTGGTTATGTTAATTCATATCTTTAATACTGGTTCTGCTCAGGTCTACATTATTGATTTTGGGCTAGCTAAGAAATATCGTGACACCTCGACTCATCAACACATTCCTTACAGGTCAGTTATTTCGAAGCATGAGTTAACTATTCCATATGCAGTGAAACTTGTTACCCTCTTCCTAGCTGTTTTCTAGCCGTCACAAATGGCGGTCTCTCTCTTTGTGACCCTGTTTCTTGTTTCAGCCTCCTCTATTTGTGCAACTCTACCTTAAATACATTGCAGGGAGAACAAGAATTTGACAGGAACTGCAAGATATGCTAGCATGAATACTCATCTTGGGATTGGTATGGTTACACATATAACCTATTTGGTTTTAGTGATTGCACTTGAAACATACAACTACTAATATCTAGTTGGTGAGTTAATACTTTTTCCATGTTATGCTATTTATGTGCTTTGTAGAACAAAGCCGCAGGGATGATCTGGAATCACTTGGATATGTTCTTATGTATTTTCTCAGAGGAAGGTGACACCTCAACTCTCTATCCAATTTCAGTTATCTGTATGCTACATGTAAATTTTGTGTGTGTTATGACCGTATGTTGGTTTAGTCTTCCTTGGCAGGGACTAAGAGCTGGAACTAAAAAGCAGAAGTACGAGAAGATCAGTGAAAAAAAGGTGTCAACTTCTATTGAGGTAAGCTTCGGTCGTGGTCGAAGTTCGAATTTATTTCCACTTAGGATCATTTCCTTTCTAACTGATTTGAATCTCGTTTGCATTTTGTAGGCTCTATGTCGAGGTTACCCTACCGAATTTGCATCCTATTTTCATTATTGCCGGTCATTGCGCTTTGACGACAAGCCAGATTATGCATACCTGAAAAGACTATTCCGTGATCTTTTCATTCGTGAAGGTTTGATTCGTGATGTACTATGTTCATTTTACTTATTCATTCTTGTTAGCCGTGCGAAATCTTTTAACAAGAATCATGGACTTTCTTATTCCAATCCAGGGTTCCAGTTTGACTATGTTTTTGACTGGACTATATTGAAATATCAACAGTCACAGATTGCTAATCCTCCTACTCGCGCAGTTGTAAGTCACTAGACCATTTTCTTCACTTAGGTGTTTCCAGGTAATTTCACTGACTGATGATCATTTATCTTATCTTCAGGGCCCCACTGCTGGACCTAGTGCTGGAATGCCACCTACTGGTGCAAATGCTGATAGACAACAAGGTTTTTTAGTTATCTTCCACCTCAAGCTTTTCTGCAATTGTTAGCCTTCTCATCTCTTGTGCTTATAAGGAATGCTTCTCTCATTTTAATTTTATTCGAGTAGGTGGGGGTGGAGAAGAAAGTAAACCTGGCTGGTCTTCAAGCGATCCTCGAAGGAGAACTTCCGGACCGATTCTAAGCTCCGCAACTTTATCCAAGCTAAAGAGCCCTCTCGTCAATGATGCCAAAGATGCTCCGGTATGAATGCCAGATGCAAAAAGTTCAGCACTCAACCCTCCAATACTAATGATTCATTCCACTCTAACATGGGATTTGTGCAGTTATCTGGCTCTAACCATATGCGAACTAGCTCCTCTACTAGAAGACCTGCAATATCAAGCACTCATGACTCTACACAAGCTGTACCTTCCACAGCAAGAAACAGCAACTCGAACAGTAAGAACTTGGAATCCACTCTTAGAGGCATCGAGAGCCTCCGGTTCAATAACGATGAGAGACTGCTTCACTAGGCCAAGTGAAAAAAGCCAATCTCAATCCCGAGAAAATGCTTTGCCCTTCGCTGTAAAGCTGAGATCTTTATACTCCTGGTGAATCGGACATGGAACGGTCGAACTCCCTTGGCCGCGGTCGTTATATTGTCGCTTGGTTGCTGCTAACCTTGTGCAAACAGATTATGGTATCTAATTCCGTCGATCGGTTTTTACTCTTCGAGTGGATTCTAGGGATCAATGATGGACCATCTGATGGAGCTCATGAATTCATGTATAGCAGTGAATCTTTTCTAGAGTACCTTTTATAGTTTTCAGATCCATAAAATGCGACCAAAAGAAAGAGCCAAGACTATTATTGCTGCTGCCGATGTACATCCTCTTAAGTTTGAACTGTACTCTACTGCTCAGGTGATCTCAACCTTCCTTTTCTCAAGGAGACCAGTGAATCTGACTTTTTTTTATGATTCAAAATGTGGCTGAAGTGCTTTCTTACTTCACATCTTAATGAGAAGCAAGTTTGGTTTTAATTGCTGTTTATCTTATAGTTGCCCTGACCCACCCTCCTTGGACAAACCTTGCGGAGGAACCCTTAAGGTTTTCGGGGCATTGGTTCTCACGAACGTTTGTGTTACTCAAGCCGATATTCTGGCTTCCGCTTCGTCCACAGCCGTTTCATCCAAATACTTAGTGGTCATTGATCTTTGGGAGTTGGAAGCTAATTTGCTGTTTGACTGCAATGTGCAAAGTTTCATCCAAATACTTAGTGGTCATTGATCTTTGGGAGTTGGAAGCTAATTTGCTGTTTGACTGCATTGTGCAAAGTTCATTGTGCGTGAAAGTTTATTGGCCAAGTACCTACTTCCATCAATGTAGCTCGACAGATGGATCATAATTCAGCCATGGATTGACATGCAAAAAAGCTCCTTAACCCATAATTATTCATCATTCTAGTTGTCATGCTCTGGTTTTGGGACAAGGACAGTTATGGAAAAGAGATGAAAAGGGCGTCGAATGAATATTCTTAGCTGGCCTTTCAAGCATGGCCGACAACCGCAAAAAATCTTCTCCATGTTCCAGAGGAAACCGTTGATTCTAATCTGTTAATGAAAGATCGAAACTTTTCCACAAACCCTAATCATTGATCTCTCAACCATATTAGTTTAATAAATGAATAAGGAAAATAGGGAATAAAGTAAGGACATTCTGCATTCTTGTTGAAGCACAGTGAAGAAACAAAACTCAACAATACAAGAAACCATGTAAAAGACTTAAAAAGAGTATTCCATTACTGGTTTCTTTCCTCTAGTAAGAAGGTGTACATAAATTATATCAAGAATGTATTTCGATTATTCAAATCCAAAGTAATTTCCTTCATTCCGACTGATTTGGCAGAAAGGGCTGCGCTTCAAATCCAGATTTGAAGATGAAATGACTCTCACTTCCATCCATGAACAACTTGATTGCAGGCATCTTTAATCCATCTGAAACTCTTCTTCAATGACCCTTTCATCTTGCCTTCCATTGCATAAGCTTTGTAGCTAACAACCCTCTTCTTCCTCTGGAGCTCCGGATCAAAATTCATCTTCCCCCAGCTTCTTGAACCAACAACTTCAACATGTTCTTGCTTCTTGGCCTTCACTTCTTCATTGGGTTGTTGTCTTGCTCCATGGCTTACACTGTAAGACCTCAGCCCTTGCATGTTTCTTGGCCCTGGTGGCGGCGGCTGGTTTTCGTAGGTGAAGTCGGTTGAGATCCTCCCATCTCTGCAGGACATGGATCTGAAATTCTCCATTGAAGGAAGGAGGAGGAGGAGAAAGGGGGAAAATAGAGAAACTTGTAATGTGGGATGGAGGGGAAAAAAGTGGTATATGATATATTGACTATAGAGATTAGAGAGAGACCCTTTTGAATAAATAGAAAAAGATAATAGTTAGTTTTTTTTTTTAGTGCTTGGGGGTTTGTGTATGGAGGTTTATTAAAACTTTGGTAATGTACTTTAGTATCATGGAGTTTGTGAGATGATGAGTGAGATTGATTCATATGCACTACTTGTTTGTTGGAAGATTTGGATGATTAAGGAAACAAAACAAAACAAATAATTAAGAGCTGGAAATTTATGGTTAAAGAAATGGGCAATGGGGCATGTGCCACTTGGGATCATACTCAGACTTGACTGTTCAAAGATTTGTATTGATAATAATAAAGAACAGGTCATTTGATAGATTGTTTTAGTCCCATGAGGGCAAGAATTGGCCTTACTAGGTTTTGGTTCGGAAAATAAATGGAGAAATTTGAAAAGAAGAAAGTTGGTAGATACAAGAATATTTCTGATAGTTGTGAGAAGCTAAATTTTTAGATACAAATCGCAATGGAATGATCAAATCAAAGAATAAAATTTTGAAAGGTGAATCAAATAATTTGCTTGTGGAACAAGATACTAGTAATGTAAGTAATTGATCCTATTCCTCATCAATAAGTGTCCATGATTTGATGGATAAGGCGCTTTACTAGATACAAGTCACAACGAATGGACCAATGAGAATGAATCCACGAGAGGTGGATGGAATGGTTTGGTTGTAGAATAGGGAATGAGTATTTAAAAACGTGGTCTTATTTATTAACAATAAGCGCCCATGGCCTAATGGATAAGGCGCTTGACTTCTAATCAAGCGATTGTGGGTTCGAGTCCCACTGGGCGTGTTTTTTTCGTTTTTTTTTTTTTTTATTTTTGCCAGCATTTCAGAACACTTGACTTTAACAGAGCTGAAAGGGTGTTCAAATCATATTTTGCTCGAGACCGTAATACTCAAGTCATAATATAATATCCAGTTGGAGTGGTGCCCACGATAAAACAGTAACTAAGATCAAATATTCAGATCATTGATTACAATAAGGGTGAATGAGTATTGAATCTAAGTACTCTAACCTTGCTGCATTAACTAATAGAGTGCCTTAATTACATTTACCCAAACCATGATAAAGGACTAGATTCCACCAGAAAGCAGAAGCTAAGGAGCAACACTGCAAAAATACCTCACAAAAGTATATTATATATGTATGACCCCCCAAAAAAACACTAAACAAAACCCTTTTCAGCTAGTGCACTTGACCCATCATCATCATCATCATCTGATTCAAACAGTCAGATCTCCTTTAGAACATTTAAGAGTAAGACTAGAAATTAAAAAAAAAATAAAACAGACTCAAAAGAAGAGAAGACAGCAACAAGTTAAAAACAGTGCTTGCAGAAACAACAGAAAAGGCAAGAAACCTCTTCTCTTCCTTCTCAACGCACCACCAAAAAATCTCCACTCTTACTCGCTTCACAGGAGATCAGCAACATTGGAAGGCAGCTCCTCGATCATAACATTGTAGAACTTCTGGATGTCAAACAGCATCCTCTCATCGTCCTTCGTCACAAAGTTAATGGCAACACCCTTCCTCCCAAACCTTCCACCTCTTCCGATACGATGGAGGTAGTTCTCTGGTTGAGTCGGCAGATCATAGTTAATGACGAGAGACACTTGTTGTACGTCAATACCACGAGCCAGGAGATCAGTGGTGATCAGGACACGTGAAGATCCCGACCGGAACTCCCTCATGATGATGTCACGGGTGTTCTGGTCCATGTCACCGTGAGTCGCTGAGACGGTGTGGTCGCGGGCTCTCATCTTATCAGTTAGCCAGTCAACCTTTCGTCTTGTATTAACGAAAATGACGCTTTGGGTGATTGCTAGGGTTTCATAGAGATCACAGAGGGTTTCGAGCTTCCAGTCTTCCTTCTCGACATTGACATAGAACTGCTTGATACCTTCCAAAGTCAGCTCATCACGTTTGACTAAGATCCTGACTGGCTTGTTCATGAACTTCCTGGTGATCTCAAGAGCCTCGGGGGGCATGGTGGCGGAGAAGACGCCTATCTGGACATTGGCAGGAAGCAACTGGAAGATATCATAGATCTGGAAACCAGCCAATAAAACAAAGTCAGTTGAGAAGCTGAATAGATAAAGAGAAAAACAGACTCGGCAAATAGGTTGGCTTGGCAGGTTAGCTTGATATTTGCCACCTCTAATCAAAAGAAATCATAGGAGGCTACAGATATTTCAGAAACTGAACCTGATCCTTGAAACCACGTGAAAGCATTTCATCAGCTTCATCAAGAACAAACATCTTGATATAATCTGGACGAAGGGACTGCCTCCTCAACATGTCAAATACACGACCAGGAGTACCAACAACAACATGAACACCAGCTTGGAGAATGCGTTGGTCCTCACGAACACTGGTCCCACCTACACAAGCATGGACCTTCACCCCAAGATAATCTCCAAGTGCTCTCATGACCTTCTCAATCTGTTGAGCAAGTTCCCTAGTGGGAGCCAGGACGAGAGCTTGACACTGAACTATATTATAATCGAGCTGCTGCAGAATTCCAGAGCAAAAAGTTGCTGTTTTCCCAGTTCCTGACTGAGCCTGCTGAATGACGTCAAGTCCCCTGCAGAAAGGGACAATACCCCTCTGTTGGATTGCAGATGGCTTCTCGAAACCTGAATTATAAGATTGGGAATGGAAAATCAGACTCATCAAATAACATTATTTGGGAATCCACTCGGCTTATATTTCCACAGGAGTGCACAACTTACCATAAGCATAGATACCCCTAAGCAAGTTTTCTTGCAATCCCATTGCATCAAAACTTTCATAGACTTCGTCATAGGGAGTGAAGAAATCTTGAGCATCACTAGAGAGCCTGAAAGATTTTTTAGAAAGGATATTATGCCATCAGGCTGACATCACAAGCAAGACTAGGGACCACGTTATTATCCTCAATCTCCAGGCTGAAAATAATACACAGAACTTACAGATCGGTCATCTTCTTGTCAAATTGACGAGCATCAAACTGCGAGCCTTCTGGTGCCTCACCTGCCATAACTGCAAAATACCAAACTACTTTTGTTACTCGCATACCCAAGTGAAATGACAACAGCAGGGGTCATAGCAAATAACAAGTATAACCGAAGCAGGGACCAGTGCAAAATGAGCAATTCCAGGTTCCAAACTACTGCAGAACCTCCAACACACATACTTTATTGTGAAACACCCTAGAGCAGGAAGAGCAGAAATTCCAAGTGTCACAGAAGAGCCAAACTTGTAAGACAAGTAACATGAGGATTAGAAGCATTAAACTTCCGAGTCTATATCTAGAGAAGCTGAGCATAGGGGGGAACATCCATCTGATACAGAAGAAAAGGCAAGGTGCAACACCATAGACTGCTTTACCTGCTTCTCTAGATTATCAAACCAACGAAATACCTACCACCACACATAAAAGTCATGATCATTCAGAACGCTATTCAGACACGAACCAACCACCTCATGCCACGGTACATCATTACATCTTCTCCAAATATCCAGCTACCAAGCCTCAGACAGTTATAGTTCAGAACAGTTATCGAAGGCCACATCAAGCCAGCTAACGAGGAAGTCCTGTGATTACATTAACATCATCATCTCACTACCAGTTCAAGTATCAGAACGTTACATGAACAGATCAACCACAGATCGGAGAGAACACCGTATCTAAATCCAAATCAAGCTCAGGAGGTCACAACCCTAAGCCACCATCCACAATCCTATTTTGCTTCGGAAAATTCAACACCCACAAAAGCAGGAAGCATTCGGACAATGAAAATCCGATCTTTCTCAGCGATCTCCCCATCAACAAGTCAACCCAGAACTCCATACAACGATCAGAACCGAGAGAGTGCAGCACAAGAAACGCAGAGAGCAAAAAAGCGCAGCGTCATTGAAGCAGAATAAGGAAGCGCGCCGAACTGTTCTTACCTACAAGAGGAGTGTTGATGATTGAGAAGAGAGCTAAACGTGATTTGGCGAGAGAGTGAGAGAAGTGGCCAGACGAAAGCGAAACAGTATACTTCTGATGACAAAATTAGGGTTTTCTGAATTCCAAACTCCTCGGATCTGCGCCGTGGAGTTTGTGGAGAGAGACGAAGCGATTCAGTGCTTTATACTTTATAGTGTAACTGTGCCTTTCTCATCAATCCTAGCCCAAACAAAAAAAAAGGAAAAACAGGACTTCCTATTTACGGATTTGCCCTTGGACTTCCCTGTACTTTTTTCAATTGTTTATTCTCCCTCCTGCGGAGAAAGTTGCAAAAATTCCTATTCTCACAAGGAATGTTGAGATTGTGTTGTTTACTTGTTTTCAAAAGAAATGTTTGAGATTCTTATAAAAAAAATGTTGAGATTGTGTTTAATAAGCTTTGAATCCTAACTTTTGTTGTTAATGGCTGATTACATCAATCGCTTAGCTTATATGTGATAGTTTGACTCAACTCAATAATATTGAAGTTTAATCAGTTTAGTTATCATGTTTATATTGAGTCGTTATTAATCTATCACACCTCTCGGCTTAATGTTCATATGAGAACTAATTTGTCTTTGGGATTAGTCGGATGGCTTATGCATTGTGAGAACGTCTACCGCGACATTCTGGTTTAGGACTAGGTAGAGCCACGTTATTGGCAGGGAAAATTATAGACTCACTCAACTCTCAAAATTACGTAAAATTAAATGTAAATTCTGCAATAAATTGAGAAAATGTAGTAGTTGATAAGGCTTTAGCCTTCCCTCGCTAGTTCAAATTCTTTGGGCGTAAAATTTTTAGCCCCCTTGTTGAGATTTCTGGCTCCACCACTGGGACCGAGAAAAGTCTTTCACTTTGGGTAGATAAATATATCCTTCGTGAAAAAGGATTATGCCTTTACAACTAGGGTGAACATGAGTGGTTTTATGCAGATTTGGGTGGGTTTGGAGCCACCCACTACGTGAGAGGTGAAGGAGAAAATGACTCACACCTACAGGTGTCAATCGGGCGGGTTCGGGTCGGGTTCAATAGGGCTTCGGGTTCACCGGGCTTCAGGTTCATTGGGTTCGGGTTCAATTGGGTCGGGTTCAATAGGTTTACGGGTCCATCGAGTTACGGGTCCACCGGGTTACAGGTCCATCGGGTTGAGGGTTCATCGGTTGCTGATCAATCGGGTTACGGGTTCATCGGTTGCGGATCAATCGGGTTACGGGCGGATCGGGTTACGGGTTGTTTGGGTCAGCGCATTGTGTTCTTTACTCTTTACTCGTTACAACTTACACTTCGGGGTCGTTTGGAAGTTGCGATTGTTAAATAGATGTATTGTTGAGAATGCATGTATAATATTATACATGTATTGTCGAATTTGATGCATTGAAGAATACAACGTTTGGTATGTGTGATTGTTTCTGTCGCATCAGCTAAAATCTGAGACAAAACAATCTCAACTCAACTATCTCAACAATCACAACTAAAAGTTGAGATATAACAATCACTCAAAATGAGTGATAGTTTCTGTCACATCACAGAAACAATGGATTGTTTCTGCTAAAAAAAAAACGATGCATTGTAAACAATACATGCATAATGACAATCTCAACAAAACAATCGCAACTTCCAAACGACCCTTCATTTATTACACTAAATTTCAAACATTTTTCACAATTTGTAGTCAATTTGTTTCTACCTCGTATTCATATATGTACTTATAAAAGATTTTTTTTTTGTATAAGTACTTATAAAAGTTTATTTTTTTGGTCAAAGTGCAACATTAATTTTGTATTCTTGTACATAATTAAGTTATTGCAATCGTATGACTTAACATACCAAAGCCCGACAAGATTATCTTGTGTGGTATACACTGAAACAAAATTGGGTGCATGAGTCGCCAGCACTACCATCCTGCTCTAGGTCAACCACCTGGTAAGCAAAAGGTAAGAAGACTTATAGGGCGACGCTTGAGGGATATGCAGTTCGTGCAACAAATCACCCGTCTTGAAGTCGACCAATGCAGCACAGAGACCATCCTTAAATGGATAGTCCCGATCAAGCATTGCATAAACGACCACAAAAAAGTCTTTCCCTTCCTTCATTAACCTTGACGACAATGTTTTGGCACCTGAAGGAAACCGATGCGTGCCCAGTTCCCACTTTAGAGTGTCAACGTACGGCCACCTTACTCTTGAAGAAGCGAGAGCGGGTGGCGTACTCGTCAAAGGGAGGCGCAGGAAGTGAATTCCAATGGGGGTTGCCATTATCATCCAGTGCCAAAACCTGGAAGCAGTTTCCAGAGTCTTTCGGGGATCCGTGTATTATTCGGCAGCAGTGATCTCCGTACACTTTGCCCTTGATCTCTGCAACAATTGGAGACGGCATAGGGAGAGGCAAAGGAAGCTTATCGAGATGGTGGAGGGTATTGGTATCGGGATTGAATTCATAGAAATTGTCACTTGATTTCTTGCTCGACTTGAGGAACTCATAAGGTAATGCACAAACCTCTGGCCCCCAAGGTTTGCCCTCTGCAGTTTCTCCGCCGACCAAGTATGCTTTGCCATTGAACTTGAAGAAGCCGTTCCCGATTGGGAAACCGGGATCGGCGTCGAGGAAATCCCTCTCACAAACAACCTTCGGTGCTAAAACCTCAAGTCCACCGCGTTCACCTACAACCGCTGGCTTACCCTCGAAAGCCTTAAACCCCCAAATCCAACTGCCATACTTATACTTCATGTACAGGTTCTTACCTCTCCACTTCTTATCCGTCGCCGCCGCTGGAAACTTGTTCCTTTCTGCCTCCGTCTTTGAGGATTCCCCGGTGACGCTCATCGTAATCAGCAGGAAAATGGAAGCCTTTGATTTCTATCGCTATTCCGATTGCGATTCAGCTAACCCTAACGGCCTAACCCCAATCATATATAGTAGAGAGAGCGGTTGGCTGGATAGTGAACGCCATGTAATTATACTGGACCGGTCTTCTATCTGGGCTTTCTATCGAGAGCTCCTGCCCAGAGGGCCTGGTAACTGCGGGGAATGTTAATCTGCTAACTTGAAGATTCGTTAGCAGATACTAACTGATATTCAAAATACATGAACTAGTATCCAAGTACTAAAGTATCTAGAGAGCACAGACTAGTATTTAAAGTTTGCTAACTAATATCCACCATGAATCAACTATTATCCCAAATTCACAAACTAATATCTAGACAACACAAAATAGTATCCATCAGCACATAATTAGTATCCAGATAACGCATAAGAGTATCCAAATAACACATAAGAGTATCCATATTGAATACTAGATGGTTGATTGTGGATATTAGTTGGTATCTGCTATCTGAATACTAGTTTGAAATGTTTTGAATACTAGTCTGTGCTATCTAGATACTCAACAGACTTGGATATTAGTTCATACATTTTGGATATTAGTTAGTATTTAACGAATCTTCAAATTAGCAGAATAACTAGTCTGGATAACTGCGCATCGGCAGAGCTCTGTCGTATAGCAAAAAAAAGTTGTGTCTCTGCAGTCGATGTTCTTGTCCTCGGTAAAATGCCATGTTGTTGTTTAAAGTGTGGATCTCGAGACTATTTGAATGATCTAAAACGAATTGTTTGAGAGATATTTCTATAAATATCACTATTTACAAAAAAAATTACAAAAATACCACCTAATCCAAATAATTTCCAGTTATACCGCCTTTTAATTAAGAACTGCCGCCAGGGGAGGCGTTTTCAAAGCAAACCGCGCTAGGAAGGAGCGGTTTTAGTTTTGGGCAATAAACCGCTCTACCCATGCGCGGTTTGATGGCTGCCCTAGGTCAAAATATAAGAAACCGCTCCTCCAGGGTCCGGTTTGTGAAAACCACCCTTGGGAGGAACAGTTTGTTATGTTGACACCAAAATCGCCCTTGGGGGAAGCGGTTTGTGTGTTTTCCCCACTTTCCCGACAGGAAAACAGTCGGCATGCAGGGGACTGCAAGGGGTGGGGAAGGTGTTTTCTGAAAACCGCTTGGGGGGCGGTTTTCATGGAAATTTCTGCTATAAAAGGCTGCTCCGGAAAACTCAGCACTTCACCTCTCTTCCCTCTTCCTACTCTTCTTTAAGTTTTTGTTTTAGCGATTTGTGTTTTATATTATAGCGATTAACGTTACGTTGTAAGTTTGTTTTGTATTACTTGTTATTGTAAGTTTGCTTTGCGATTAACATTGAAAAAATTTATGGTATTAATTAAGTTACCGTTTTATTGCAGATGGCATTCCAAAAGTTCATACTTGGGTTACGGTGGAATGGTTATACGGAAGAGACCGAAAAGGGAGTACATTACGTCGATGGCAATTTTCTAAAAGTGAAGGTTGCTACGAAACCGAACCTTGAAGATCTCCATCGAATTTGTACTGAGGTTACTTGCATGGGTGGCACGAGGAGAGTTGACCGTATGGTGTATCGATACAGACAATCCGGGGCGTTGTGGCATGAGGAATTCCTCATAACCACTCAGGCAGAAGTAGATTCCATGGTTGAATTTTTTTTACCAACAATAGCATTTCCAAAGAAGAGACGTTCGTTTACATCGAGCCGGTCGCACGCGCTGGAGGTCATTATGGAGAAGGCCAAACATCTGGTATCAACGGTGGAGGGGGATTATATGAAGATCATCCGTACCAAATCTACCATGATCGTCATTCCTACAATGAGTATCAAGAAGGAGAAACCCAATGATACACTAACAACCAAGATCATGCCGATGAGGTAAACACGTGCATAGATTTCCTTATGTTCCTCATCACTTTCCTTTGTGAGGAGAAAGCCATCTTGAGCAAGGTCGCGCTTCTTCTTGATCTCGTTCGTCAACCAAGTGATGGATACTTGGCGGCTCCTCATTGGTGGAAGACCATCTTCCTCGTCATCTCCTTCTCCCTTTGCAGGCACAAACAAACCCAAGGCGGTCCATATCAAATACTGCCATCCATTCATCTCGTCAACATATGAGGGTGGTGGGTGATCGTCCACACAAACGACATTGCCATCAATGCGCAAAGGTTAGAATGGCGATGTCCTTCAGTGTGATGGTGCACTCGCCTTCAGAGAAGTTGAAGCAATGTGACTCGGATCACCATCTCTCCACCAACGATGTGATGAGCTGGCGGTGGATCTTGACTCCTACGAAATATCTAATCGAATCCAACCTTTCCCTTCTTAGATGGGGCAAGATGACGTCGTTCCATGGGAGCACAGCGCTGGAACTCCTAGAGCGGACTATACGGTGTGCATCCTAGCGAATAAATTTACTTTCGCTATAAGTTTCTGATTTATAAATATATATAAATCTATTTTAACAAACACTATAGTCTTAACAAAATCAAGGTTTTTTTCACAATGTATAAATAATTTACTAAAAAACATATTAAGTTAACTAAAATAAATGAATAGCATTTTGAAACATTTCATAAAATTAATTTTGTACACAAAATTATACTAGATTATATTATTTTTTAAATTGCATTGGTTGCTTTCAGTAATTTAAACAATACGAGTACACTCGTTAGACTCTTAAAAGAGGTATACATATTCTTAGAAACACATCTTTTTATACAGAAAAAGGGGGGATCCGAGGATCTCTTAGAACCGATTTTCCCAAGAAATGGGAGGATCATGATGATCGCTTAAGACCCCCTTTCCTTAGGCATGCATCTCTTTATGAAGAGTCTAAGGGGTCGTTTGAAAGTTGCGAATGTTAAATCATTGCATTGTAATGAATCACCATAATATAAATGCATGTATTGATACAATGGATGTATTTTAACAATACATTGTTTGGTTGTTGAGATTCTACTTTATGCATTGATTTACATAAAATTACTTTGATGGGGAAATGTCACATGTACTCTCAACTTTTATAATAAGACAAAAACTGTTAGGGATATAAATGAAAAGAAAAAGTTGACACAAATCTAAAACCAACAATCACATCAATCTCAACTTTTAGTTGAGATTGTATAATGCATCATTTTTTGTAATTGTTGGTGGGACTTACCTAAAACAATGCATGCATTGTTTTACACTTTGACACTTCCAAACTTTGTATTGTGCACAATACATGGATTCAACAAACACAAACCTAAGTAAGTGGCACATTGTATTGATTTAAATTATTGAAAACAATTAATATGATTAACAATTAACAAATTTATTTACAAACCACTAACTTACGTTAACAAAATAAAAAGATATACTTATGAGAAATTATAAGTACCTCGTGATCGTTCCACACATCCCTTGAACGATGATTTGCTTGATCGTATAACACGGTTGGATCAATGGGTCCTTGATCGACATAATATCTTTGATTGTAGATATCAACGTCCTCCCCAACCTATGATAGCATAACAACAATATAAATTAATTAGTATATAGATTAAATAAAATCATTATAACAACAACAAAAACAAGAGCAAAATGAGTATGTACCGCTTGATAGTCATCCATATAAATACCCTCCTCTTTGATAAAATCGGCCATATTTTCAGGAACCAGACAGAGATTCGACGGGTTTTGAAAGAAAAAACTCGAAAATGTTTTCTGATGGTAGTTCGAACTTAGTCGCAACCAACATACCACTATTTCCTAGTTTTTTGGGTGGAGAGGGGATGTGATGAGAACTAATCTTAAAGAGAGAGAGGAGAATGGGTTTTGGTGTGAAAAAAAGGGGAGGGGAAGAGAGGTTTATATAGCTTTCAAACCTTGGGGTGGGAGGGCGGTTTTGTAATTTTTCCAACCAAAAACCGTGTCCGCCACCCGCAGTTTTCGTTTCCCTTGGTGGAACCGCTCCCTCCAACGGCGGTTATCAATCCGTGACGCGAACTGCTGCGTTGGCGCGCGGTCTGCCGTCAGAACACCTCCTAATCCGACGGTCATTAAGACCGCCTCTTCCCTAGGAGACTCCGCGAAACCCTAGCACAAACCGCACCCTTACAGCTCGGTTCCGGCTTAAACTGTCTCTCAAGACGGCAGTTTTTAAGAAATAGTGGTAGAAGTGTAAATTATTTGATTTAGGTGGTATTTTTGTAATTTTTTTAAACAATGGTATTTTTTGATTTTTCCATTGTTTGATGCCATAAAAAGTGTCTGGTGAAGTGTGAAGTATGAAAGAGTTCTCTTTATTATTAATAGCTTATAATCCGGTCCGTTAGCCAGAAAATTCATTTTTCATTATTTATATTTTTATGTTACGTTTAAGACTATCAGTCTGTTTAATTTTACTAACAATCTTTCGATTGAGATAATACATAAAAAAATATATAGGTCGAATATTTGCAGAAATATCATCTTCTTCATCATCATTTAAGAATACAAAATATAAAAATGTATAATTGATCCCATTCATAATGATAATTAAGTCTTCGATAAAATGCTATTGGTTAGTTGATTGTCAAGAAAGATAAAGTATAAAAGCTCACTGAAATTCCACACGAATCATAGATAGTTTGAAACTAAACCTTAAAACTCACAATCCTACAAAAAGGGTTCAATGCTCTCTTTCTATGAACAATATTCCACTAATAAAAAAATGGAGAGTTGTTAATTCAAGTCAACTATATACTCAATTAAGTGGGGTCCATCAAAACTTGAGAGCAAACGCCAAAATTAGGTTACCTCCAATATACTAATAGACTCAACCAAAGTAATAAAGAACAAAATAACACTCCTTATCTATCAGTTTCAATAGGTTGAATAAAGAATCGGCCGACCTACTTCAGTAAGTCAATCAATGATTCCTCATTTTAAGATAGAAATAGGTTGTGATAGATGCAAAAACCATAAACCTAAATATCCAATAGCCACCTCTCTCCTCGTTGTACAATCGGATTTTTATCCACTCTATCTACAATCTCAAGAGGCATATGTATCAACCAAAAATTCAATTTCTAATCCTCCTTCTGCAACTCAATTTATCAACTCTTTTCTATTCACCATGGATTGATATCAGAGTTGAAATCTTCTACTTGCCCGGCTTAAATCCCCAACAATAAAATTGTAGTGCCGAGAGATACCGAAAGATTGATTTTCAATGGCGGCCTAGTATTGTGAAGTGAAACGGGCGCAAACTATTGCACGATTGATTGAATTTTGGAGGAAGTTAGAAAGAGATAAAAACAAAGATAAAAAAGTATTAAATTTAGATATAAATTGAAAAATTCAAGGACACAACACGTAGTAGTAGAATTAGTTTCTTCCATGTTAGCCATCTACCAATTTACCTTTAGCGAAAATTAAGGAGAGAGCGGTAATTTTAGAATTAAGAAAACTACATGAAACTCTGCTATGAAAATTGCAGTATCAAGCACCATAAAAATACATACGTAGACTTAGCAGGTTTCTTATCATGATGGAAAAGTCCTTCGATTTTAAGAGTTTCACTTCGTGTATGTTTTGTATTAAAAAAGATACAACGAATTTTTTTAGTGTAATTGGTTGTGATTGTTGTCTTTGTTTGAAGAGACCCGGGTTCAGATCCTAATATTGACATATTTTTATATGAAAGAAATAATTAATTGTAAAGACAAAAATGCCCTTCCTAATTTCACTCTCGTTGCAAGAAATTTGAAATAGAGAAAAGTAACAAAACTCTGTCATATATTATTGGAGGATTTATATTTTTATGTTACGTTTAAATCTATTAACTTGTTTAATTTTATTGATAATCCTACGATTGAGATGATACATAAAGAAAAAATATATAGATCGAACTTTCAGAGAAATATCATCATAATTTAAGAATATAAAATATAAAAATGTATTATTGATCCCATTTTCATAATGATAATTGAGCCCTGTTAAAATGCTACTAATTAGTTGATTGTTATTAAAGATAGAGTATAAAAGCTTCTCACACGACCCATACATAGTTTGAAATTGAATCTGAAACCTCACAATCCGACATAAAGGATTCAATACTCTCCTTTTATGAACAACGTGTCGCCACTAAGCAAAAAGAATTGGAGAGTTGTTGATTCAAGTCAACTATATACTAACAACTCACTTGTGAGGGGACCATCAAAATTTGAGAGCAAATGTCAAAATTAAGGTTACCTACAATATACTAATAGAATCGATCAAAGTAATAATGCACAAAATTAGACACTCCTTATCTATCAGTTCCAGTAGGTTGAATAAAGAACCGAACTACTTCAGTAAATCAATCAATGATTCCTCGTTTTAGGGTAGAAATAGGTTATGGTAGCTACAAAAACCATAAATCTAAAGATCCAATAGTCACCAATCTCCGTCGAACTACCAAATTTTTATCAACTCTATATTCAATCTCAAGAGACATATGTTTCAACGAAAAATTCACTTCCTTCTGCAACTTAGACGGACCTTCTTTGTGACCCTCAATTTCACTTCCAATTGGGTTCTTGTCAACTCGCTCTTCAACTTCTCAATCCTCTTCTTGTGTTTTCCCAACCCATCTTCCTCAGTGGGAGTTGTAATAAGTTCGCTAAAGCCAACACTCATCTCCCCCTTGTCTTGCTTCACCTGCTTTAGTCCACTTCCATGCCCTTCGATACCCTCTCCATTTTCATTAATATTCTCATCATCTCTCATTTTCCTCTCTTCAACTGCTCCGATTTCTCTTCCATGTCTTTCAATACCCTCCTCAATTCGATCACTATCCTCACCAACTCTTTCTTCTATGCCTTCACCTGTTGCGGTTGAACTTTACCTGCTACCAAAATTCCCCCGCCACTTCTATTCCCAAACTCAATCCCAACTCTTCTACTCTAAGTTCAACACCCCCAACTTCTAGAGTTTTGCATGAAAGGTTAATTTTAGCAATCATTATGGTTTGCAATTAGATTAATGGATACTAAAAACATCAACAAAATCAACAATGTCTAACTAATCTAAAAACAATATCAAAATTTGATTGGTGAGCTGGACCATAAGAATTAAAATTAATGAGGATAATATTGTTGCGGAGAACATTAGCTATGACAAAATCAAACATGAGCAAAAATATTATAATTGAAAGAAAACTTTTTTCTAATTGTGATATAGTTTTATTATTTCAATACCCAAACAACCAATAAAGTAAACAACCCACGTTCTACACAAACATCTCTTTTGGTTTCAAACAAATCTAGCACCCAAACTATCGTATTTTATAAATCAATCACAAACAATAAACTTAGATAAATCGGGGAGGAAATAATAACCTACCAGTGCAATTTGATGAACCTTCTATGAAGATAGAAAACTCGTTGAAGTTGAAACCTGAGAACAGAAAGAG